CACACCAGCTCCTCTTCACCTTCTGCAATGAGTGGAAGCCGCCTGAGGCCCTCACCAGGTGCCCAATCCTAAACTTTTCCAGAACTCAGGATCATGAGCCAAATAAACCTCTTTTCTTTACAAATTACCCAGTCTCTGGCATTCCTTTACAGCAACGCAAATGGATGGACACCCTTCTTTCTGGGTCCTAATATTCTCCAGAAATTCAATTTTCTAAAGAATCAGTCTAAAGAAAATCCAATGTATGCTGTTATCAAATTCATCTTCCATATAGTTCAGTTATTGGACATTCTATTACATTTTCCTCTGAGTTTTGATTATAAGATTTATTGTAACACCCATATAGCACTCATATCCTATAATGTGAATAGAATGTAGTTTTGGCAATGAAGGAGGGATGACATGATTCTTTATGAAGTTCTTTTCATATTCCATTTTAGTAACAAACACCAGGAGCTATTTTAACCGAGGCATTCACAGAAATATTTTCCCATACCCTGAATCTAAATATTCTATTACATTCTCTTGCGCCATCAGGGATTTCCACTGTGTTATCCATAAAAAGTTTATGCTAATCTTGCCTATTTTCTTTCTCTCTCTCTCTTTTTTAATATTTCAGGTTCAAAGCAAAGCCAACAATAATTAATATAAATTAAGAAAGCTGTTCCTTATCAAGTTCTCACATTGTAAATATGCTGCACAGAATCACAGGAGATTAGCTTCAAAGTCCAGTGAAATGATCATGAAAGAAGCCAAATATATTTGGATAACACTCAGTAAAGTCAACTGCTATGAATGTGTCTAAAGCTGTCTGCCATATAATTCCAAGAATTCAAATGAGTTGCTATAAGATTGCTTGAATTCTCTGACAGAGTCACATCTTATTTAGAGCTTGTGGCCTGGACAAAGACTCATATTTCTCTCAAGGTTATTAATAAACATCTGTGCTGTCCAATACAGTAGCCACTAATCACATGTGGCTATTGAACACTTGACATATGGCTGGTCTGAGATGTGCTGTGCATGTAAAGCATACACTGGATTCCAAAGAGTTAGTTTTTTTTAAAAAAAGAATGTATCCCATCTTATTAATATTTTTTATTTTTTACATATTAAATTTTAAAAATTAAGTTTTAATATTAAATCCATATTAAAATAATGATTTGGATATATTGGGGTTAAATAAAATCTATTAAAATTAATTTCACTTTTTTTTGTTTTGGTTTTTTTTTTGAGACAGAGTCTTTCTCTGTTGCCTGGGCTAGAGTGCCGTGGCATCAGCCTAGCTCACAGCAACCTCAAACTCCTGGGCTCAAGCTATACTTCTGCCTCAGTCTCCCGAGTAGCTGGGACTACAGGCACGCGCCACCATGCCCGGCTAATTTTTTCTCTATATATATATTTTTAGTTGTCCAGACCATTTCTTTCTATTTTTCAGTAGAGACGGGGTCTCGCTCTTGCTCAGGCTGGTCTCGAACTCCTGACCTTGAGCGATCCACCCGCCTCGGCCTCCCAGAGTGCTAGGATTACAGGCGTGAGCCACCGCGCCCGGCCTAATTTCACTTTTTTATGTTTCAGAATATGGCTACCTAAAAAATTTAAATTACACATATGGCTGTCATATTTCTGTTGGGCAGTGTGGCTCTAGGCTGTGGCCTAGTTAACTGTGATAACTTCAAAGTTAACTCAATAGAGAAATAAGGTGTAAATCTTAAATAAACAGTAAAACAGATCAAGTCAAACCAAATTTAAAATATTCTTATCCTCTTCTTGCTCTTGACCCATTGCTACTGGCTTAGAAATGTATTATAGTAAGTAGAAGTAAAGCTCAGAGTTATCTAAATGTAGATTAGCCATGCTGTTTTCAGGGTCACCTTGCTTTGTCACTTAGCAATGCAATCTCAGGGTGATGTAAACCAACTTTACTGTTTAAGAAAGGATGTATGGTCCTTACTCCCAAAAGGCTATCATATGCCACTAAATAGTTCAATATTATGTAGTTTTTGGACCGGAGAGCTATTTGGGCAGCATGGGTAATGGAAAGCGAACAGGACAAGGAGTCCAAGGGCAGGGGTTCAATCCTGGGTCAGCCACAGCCCAGGCCAAGGTCAGATAAAACCTCTGAATCTGGTTTTCCTTACCTGTAAAATGGGGGTGAGGATGGTAATACCTCTCACAATAGACTGTTCTAAGGATTAAAAAATGAATATTTTAAAAAGTAAAATGGAAAGTATTACACACATGTTAGCTGCTATCATTATTTTAATCTGCCGGACTCTAAGACTGACCTCCACTGAGACACTCTGCTGTGTGTGCTGGGAAGGAACAGAAGGCAAGCAAGGAGGACTCTGTCCATGGCACCTGACTTCTCAGGACCTTGCCTTCTCCTACTTCCTATTCACTATAAAGACTTATTGGAAGGGTGTCATTAAAACAAGGCACTAGGAAAACTGCAAAATCTTATACAAATGTAAGGCATTGTTACTGATTTGGATAATCATCAAGAATTGATTTTTACTAAAAGAGAGAGAAAAAAATCCCATTTTGGTTACCCAATAACTCCTCTTACTATGAAAAGTAGCCTTTGCCAAGTTCCAAAATATACTTTCTTGTATTTTTAACTTATACATACTAATTCAAGATGTTAGTGGTAATAAGATGTGAAGAGAAAAAGGAAGGCTAGAGTATCCATCTTTTGCTCAGGTCTTGGCAAGATGACACAAAAGAATATCTTCCTTTATTTTCAAGTAGAGCTGCATTCAGCATAATATTATTATCACATCTGCAGAATAGCATTCTTAACAATATATGTTATTGTGTAGCTAAGCCATTATATTTGGCTTCTTTGGAAAAAATACTCATCTGTATTATTTTTGAAACCAGTACTACATAATCCAGGAACTCCAAAAGGCATTGACAGGATTTATACAGCCAAAAAGTTATTTGGACTCTAAGTAGGACATATACAGATGCAACAATGACTTTAAAACATGAGTCTTTCAAACTTCACATAAAGAAGTAAGTGCTCATAAAAGTAATAGAGTAAAATAAAAGCATCATATCAACCTATATTTAGCTATATACAATAAATAGAACCAATTTTCCTCACATTTTGATTTATTATTTTAAAGAGAGCTTCCTTTTACTAAAATATTTTCTTTTTTGGCACAGTGACACACTTCTTCATTCTCAGTTGTTTTACATCATTCTGTTTTTATTCAGTTTTACCAATGTTATCTGTAATAATTTAAAAATTAAGTTTATTTAGTTTTGATTTATGCTTTATTTCTTTCACTTTATTTCATTGTCCTTTCTTGGCACTTATTCATTTTTGTGTAGTGTTCCCTTAATTTTGTGTTCTAGCATATGGATAAAGTCTTTTTTTTTTTTTCTTTGAGATAGGGTCTCACTCTGTCACCCAGACTAGAGTGCAGTGGCCTCATCATAGCTCACTGTAATCTCAAACTCCTGGGGACTGAAGCGATCCTCCTGCCTCAGCCTCCCAAGTAGCTAGGACTACAGGTGTGCACCACCACACCCAGCAAATTTTTTAAGATTTTGTAGAGACAGGGTCTTGCTATATTGCCCAGGCTGGTCTCAAACTCTTGGCCTCAAGTAATTCTCCCACCTTACCCTCCCAAAGTGCTGAGATTACAGGCGTCAGCCACCACCCCTGGCCAATAAAGCCATTCTTAAACGTAAAACTTCAGACCTAGGATGGCACCTATCAGCTTACACTATATTAGATTGTTCTGTGATTAACTATCTCCAGGTCTTCTGTTCAAATGAGATTAAATAAAAATACACACACACACACACACACACACACACACACAAACACACACATACTTAGTAAGGAGAACCAATATCTTATGTGAATATGTAAAAGTCAAGGAGTAAACAGGAAAGTGAAGAAGATGCATCATGCTGAATTACTGAGGCAGTGGAGACAATCCTATTAGGGAAAGGATAAAAGAACAAAGTCAACCATTAGCCTTAAAGATACTGGAGGGGCAGCCAAATGTGCTCTCCAGAAGCTAAGAGATGGAAACATTCAGTAAGTATGTGGACTGTCAGCATTAGGACAAGCATAGATAAATATATCATTACTCTCTGATTCCAGCTATTTTTACCTTTTATTTTTATTTTTTTTATTTCAATAGATATCCATTTCTGTTTTTTAATCTGTTTTTTTTTTTTTTTAAAGTTTAGAAGCTAAATTCCATAACCACCACCATTGTTACTACTGTCATGGACAGGACCATCACCAACACGCCTAGACTTTATATTAATAAAGACACAAGATGCAAAACTACCCCTTTAGTCTTCAGTAACTGTAATGACACTGTCAACCTTTATCAGGGGAGCAAGTGAAAAGTAAACACCAGTGATTGTGCCTGAGAGTTATTCGTAAGAGTCAAGTCATCACTACTAATTCCAAGTAAGCCTCACTTTGGTTCTTACCTGTAATATTAATACAAACTGAACATGAGCTGTGGTTATACCATTTGGTTACACCTTCAGAGAACATCGCTTTTCCTGAAGTATATATATATTATGGAATATTTATCTTGGGAAGTGCCTTACCAAAAAATAAAAAAAAGAAAAAGAAAACTCTGGGAAATGCTGTATCCTATAGTCCCTTCTTGAAGATTGACAAGGCATATTAGCATATTAAAACTTCCTGCGATAAACAAACTATCTTAGCATGTCCTAAGTTTATTTGACCCTGTAACCCTTCCCCATTCCTATCCCTTTACAGACAATCTATGACCATCTGCCAGAACTAGTATTTCTAGAAAGACATTCTGGGAAAGACTCTTTTTGATCAATAAGGGATAGAATTAATTGAGATGCATATTACATGCTCCCAAAGTTCGAAAATACTAATTATTCAGCTCTAGGAAGAGCCAACAGCAACACAATCAAATGAGTCTTGAGAAGGAAAGGGTTTCTTGAAATCACAAGGCCGCCTGCTCAAGGGTAAATGTTCTACTTACTTAAGGAGATTGCCCAGATTAAAAAGAGCCCGGTTGTGCTGTGGATGTAGCTGGAGAGCCCTCTGATAGTACATCTTTGCCTCTGCTGTGTCCCTTGTCAGCGTTCCAAGGTTATTTAGGGCACTTGCATGGCGCGGATACAACCTGAAAAGTCAGAAACATTAAGCTGCGATGCTTCAAAAACTTCTAAGTTGGGCACAATATGCTTGTTCTTCCCCCACCCCCTGCTGCCAGGTATGCCAGAACCAAAATGAAACACCGAATTCTTCCTTTACCTGAATGGTTTGCCTGTGTCGAATCTTACCGGTCAACTATTTTTGCAGCTGAAGGTATAGAAATACGGCAGGGAAACATATATTTGCCATTTAGTGGTATAAATAATAACCCTCAATCGGATCCAATGTATACTACTTGGCTGATACATACACCCAAAGCCCACATTCCACCACTATACAATATATAATGTAACAATACATACATGAATTCAGTTTGTACCCCCTAGATCTATTAAAATTTAAAAAAAATCCTCAAATAGTGCAAGAATAAATAGTATGCAAAACTATTAGTGTTAAATAAATTTTAGTCCTTTGGAGCCGAGGATTATATTCAACTTCCTGTGATAGAAAATCCTCCTTGTCTGGGTGCTGAATTTCTGGCCTGGCAGCACTGCTGACCAGCCTGCACAGGGCCACTATTTATCAGATGCTGAGAGATCATTTAGTGAGGGGTCTTCATAAACATCTTTGGATTAGAGCAGTATTTAATAGTATAACTGAGAAAGGATGATGCATGATGTCTCCCCGTAAAAATAAACTATCTTTTTTTTGAAACAGAGTCTCGCTCTGTTGTTCCGGCCTGAGTGCAGTGGAGTCATCACAGCTCACTGCAACCTCAAACTTCTGGGCTCAAGTGATCCTTCTGCCTCAGCCTCCCAAGTGGCTGGGACTACAGGCTTGTGCCAGCATGCTCGGGTAATTTTTCTATTTTTTGTAGAGACGGGTCTCACTCTTGCACAGGCTGGTCTTGAACTCCTGGCCTCAAGCAATCCTCCTGCCTCGGCCTACCTCTAAGAGTGCTAGGATTACAGGCATGAGCCACCCGCTCATAAAATAAACCTTATCTCTAAAATGCCTTTCCATCCCAAATCTTTTTTCCATTTTATTTCATTTCCCAGCTCCTACTGCAATTTGGCTCCAACTGCCCTGATATAGTTCTCAGACTGAAAATCTTGAGAACTTGGAACACTTAGAAATGAAAAATTAAATAATGCACATTGAAGTGCAAGACAGCATTCCCCATGTCCAAAAGCAAATGATGGGGTGTACATCAGTAAACCAAATTTATGCTGATTGAAGTAGGAAAGGAATTAATTTATTTCCTTAACTCAAAACTGTAAAGAAGCCAAATCAGCACGACTACATAATTGAGTTGTTTCTGATATATTTAGAGTGGACGTTTTAGCAGTCTAATAAGTTTGCTTCATCTCTGTCACCCAGAGTACGTTAAATAAGCCTGTGGAGCTGGCTTTTAATGTAGAAATGCCAAGATAATGCCCAAGTAATAAAAACAGGATCTGTGCTTGTCAAGTCTCTTGACAATCAAATGCTATGCTTGCCCCCTGTGCTGCACCTCCTAAGAAGATCAAGGGGCAGAAAGGATTCCTATTAAAAGAAGGACAAGGAAGACAAGCTGCAAAGCTTTTTTTGCTTTTGCTCAGCCCACAGTTCCCTAAGTTTATTTGACCCTTCCTTACTTCCTTACAGAATAGCTATGAACGTCCCTCAGAACTAGTGTTTCTTGAAAGTCACTTCATAATGTGCCTCTTGATTGACAAGGGACAGAATCAATTCAAATGGATATTATATCCTCCCAAGGCCCGAAAGCCCTAATTATTCACAGCAGCTTTGGAGGCTTTTGGGAGAGATATATTTAGAGCCAGCACAGGAGCTGTTGTTTGCTACTCTCTGATCACCTTTAATTAGCAAAGACAACTTTACGGTCCCCAGTGCTAGTCCTTTCACACCCAACCTCACCATTCCTGGCAGATGAGTGTTTGGCAGAGGATATGAGAGCTGCGACGAGAGGCAAAAAATGATCATGTACCTGTCCATTCACTCCTCCAGAAAAACGTCCTGGGCTGCTTTTGGGAAGTGGTTGCAGACACAGCACACCGCAGCCAGGACTCAAATACTTCCAAAGAAGCTTTTGTTTTTGTTTTTGAAGTTAAGCAAAGCATTCTGACCTCCGAACAATTTAAGGGCTGTTTAGTGAACATGGTGAGGGCAACTTCCAGGCTCCTTGTTTCCTTTATGACAAGCAGTAACAAAAAACGTACTTGTAACGTGCCCCTTCTTTTATCTCAGAAGAGGTCATTTCTTAAAACTTTCTCTTTTCCTTATCTCTTTAGGCTTTGGAATCCACAAAATAAACACCTGAGGTGAAAACACTAAGGAAAAGAACAGTCTACATTCAATAAGACCATCCACAATGGGCTTGCCTATGTGAAGGTGCCTGTCTGCTCCTTCTGGTTCTCAGCTCAACCTCACAGACTTTATAGTCACTCATGATCCTAACACCATTTAAATAAACAGTCATGTACTTCAAAGGTCACGGACTACAGAAGTGATTTTCTCTCTTCCTCTCTTTTTTTTTTTTCCAAGTCAGAAACAGAATACAACTCCACCCTAAACTCTCATAAACATAAACAAGCAGTGTGAAGGGCAGTGAAGAGAAAGAAATAGAAGCACTAGGAAACAAAAGGCTTTTAATACGCCTTGTGCTCAGGAGAAGAGGACGTCATGGCCGGTTATCTCCAGGGAAGTGGCTCTATGTTACCCAAGAGTATTTAGAGCAACTTATTAATTCTGCTACCAAGCACAGTCCTCCACCTGGAAAATGTGTAGATATTGCTTATTCCTGGAAATAGCAAGGGTCTGCTACCAATATCCTTTCTCTCACTGGGTATCTCACTAGGTTCACATAATCAAAAGCAAGCACTGCATTATTTATGAAACAAAGTTGAATTTCATTAAAACGATTCTTAACAACCAGGTCAGGGAAAATATCTAAAAACATTTATATGGATGTAAATATTTTCTTAAAACATATATTCTTCTATTTACTGCAGACCTTTGCAAGGACAAAATTCATTTTTTGGGTTTACTTTTTAAATAAACTTGTGTTTGAATTAGTTTGGGTCCAATTCAATCTTGAGGTCTCCAGGAGGGGAATCTTTTATTGGAAAGATGAATAATTTAAGAGATGTCTATGTTACTACATCAATTGTCAGAATAAATTAAGTCCATCTTGACTTTGACTTCTATGGGTTTATTTTATGAAAGCCTTGCTGGTGATTCCATTCCCCACCCAAAAAGCCTCAGCAAAAGATTCATTAAACTGGGGCGGAGTCGTGATTTTTCAGGCCTATTTTTTCCAGGCCTTGTTTTTAAGAACAGTCACTGGATTTTTCTTTCTCACAGTATTATTCAACATTTATAATGTTTATGGGGATTCTCTTGCTATATTTTTATTTTTATTTCTATGAGTTTAATTTTTAATATTACAGATAATGTGTTATTTTGTCATATAATTCTGTGGTACAAGGAAGCTCATCTTTTTGTCTTTAAAAAAGAAATCTAGGTATAGCGATACAGTTCTACAAGCCAAAGAGAGTTTTTTTCCCAAGTATTGGATTGTTTAGGTTCTTGATAAACATAATATACATTTAAAGCATTTTAGCAGTTCTTAATTTTTATCGAGTGGCATTTCCTTAAGTACAATTTATAAAGTAGGCAGTCAAGGACATTATTCTCTCCATTTCCGTCATCTACCTTTTGAAGAATGAACACCGACATGTTAACAGGAAAAAGTCACTGGGAAGGAACAGTCGTCTAAGGAAAAAACGGAAGGCAGGAACAAAAGAAAATGGGTCTACAAGGACCTAGGACGTGTTCATGGTGCTTTACATTTTAAACTGCTTTCTCATACATTGTCTAATTTAACCTTCAAAATTCCTTAAGTGGAATTATTATACTATTTTACAGTTGAGGATTGATTAGGAAAACAAGACATCTCAGAAGCGCTTGTGTTCTCAAGTGTTAAGAAGGCAGATGGTTCCTGTAAATCTATGTTTTTAAAGTTCATTTGTCATTCAAAATTCAGCAAATAAATATACTGCTACAAATTAGAGCTTCTATTTGCAACACTTTCTCCTTTTTGTTTCTTTGGCTAATCATTCAACTATGATCTTACAGGAACTAGTTTTCGTTGTCAGAAATGAAGTAAACTCAATACCCAGGAAGCGTGGCTACTGAAGCGTGGCTACTGAGATTGTTATTCATTGGAAAAATTTGTCTTCTGCTGTATAAAATAATCATGATATCTCCAAAAAGCACAGTACTATGGAAAGCTATTTAAAATTAACAACACTCAGTAAGTGTATAAGATGTGCATACATGCTCTCCATTTACTCTTCTTAAGCTTTAACCTCAACTAAAGATACACAGACATAAGCTGTATAGGACCAAAGCTTGGTTTTATATTGTATTTCAGTCATTTACTTTAAATTGTGTACACTCTGTTCAAAAGTTAAAGATGCTGTCAATGTTTCATCATCTGAGTACTTTATAAGGCATTTCATTGTTCCAACAATTTCGAATCACGTGCTCCAGTTTGCAATTTCCTTTCAGAGTATACACACCCTGATTTATTAGTCTGATTTTCATTCCACACATTAATTTATTTGAGGTTAACTATGCTAAGGTCAGATGTTTATTTTCTATTTCCTGTTGAGAAAAACAGAATCCACAAGACAAACACGATTGGGAAAAATATTCCACCATAAAACTTTCATTTCACTGGACTAAAAAATTCACAAAGTAAACTTCATTTCAGAAGTTGACAGTGTAGTTTCAACCATATTAGTTTCTGGTATATTGTAAGTGCCTGGTTCCTTCATGTTATAAAATTTGAATCATATCACTAAATTGTACTTGGGGAGGGCTGATAATTGTGTTGGTCTGCTTCTTTGATTGTTTGAAATTGCCATTAATACCTAGCAAATAAGTCTTGCCACCTTCTTTTTGCAGTGCACCCCTCTGATCCATTATAGATAACTTGGGGAAAAAACCTCAAATGCAATTAAG